CATAAAAGGTTTTTACATAAACAATATCTAGAACCTAATAAATGAGTGTTTGAAAGATAAAGTATGTGGTGTATTTTCGTTATTTGAATGTAAGGGGGAAAATAAGCATGGAGAGGAAAGAGCCCTCTACTTCTGAAGTGGCCCACATTGGAGCTGAATTGGCTCTTTTTAAAGGGGCCATTTGTGAGAGGGCTGAAATTTCGGGGGCTGTTTTGGCCCCTATAAATTTCAAAGTGGCCCCTGTATTTTTCAAATTCACCCTTCACATGGTCCAATTTGGCCCCCACAACGGGGTCAATTCAGCCCCAAAATTGGTGCCAAAAACAGCCCCATTTCAATGGGGCCGAATTGACCCTAAGCGAGTGCCAAACTGGACTCACTCGTTTTGGCTCCATTTTTGGGGCCAAATCAACTCTTTTAATTTTACAGTGTAGCCTGCTTACGCTGCCTCTTCTGTTGAGCCTGCGTTCTGGTCATCAGCAGAGGTAGGCAAAATAAAAGGGAGTCGTAAAGTACCTGATGATGTGTTGTTGATGCTTTATAACTCGCGAATTCATTTTCTTCACTTTAGATTTGGCCTTCGTTACGCTCTGAGCCAGCAAGAAGCAAGAGAGGTATAAGCGCGTATCGAGAGCTTGGTGTTAATCACAAAAAACTGTTTTCTGTTTTTTTTTAAGTTATAAAAGAATTTGCTCGTTTATTCCGCCAAAATTGCTCTCAGCTAGGCCTCCAGCAGGTGTTAGGCCTTTTTCCCCATTCCTCACATAACAAAGCCATAACTCCATACCAAACTATGAGTCTCATATCATAATTCTCACTCAAGGAAGTGTCGAAGCTGTTACAAGGTTATTAACAATTTTTGGCCAAGATTAATTATTTTAATTGCAAGCCTTCTTAGAAACGACTGAGGTCGAAATCAAGAAATCACAATTACTAATGATAAAAAGCGGAAGTCAACCACATGTGAGTGAGTTCATTAACTATAAAGAGCAAAAGTGACTTGGTTGACTTGGTCTCTTGTCTGAATGACAGTTGAGTAATTGGCATAAAAGTGACTATCGAAGCGAAACATGCTGTCAATTTACAATATGCAAATATTAATTTCACTCAAAAAAGTATTCATGCAAATCTAAAGTAAAAGAGGTTATTTTTGGCACTTCCGTGACCAAGTTAGTATTCAAAGTGTTATTTAAAACCTTTTCAACATGATGCTTTGTACGCTAAACTGATTTACTATTCATAAAGAGGGGGAATTTCTTTGACAAATAGAGCATTGACTGTGCTTTGCTCTGTTGTAAAGCACGCCTAGAGCATGAGAGAATTGTTGGGAGGAACTCAAGACGTAGTCGACTGTTTCTCCTTAGGGTGACGTTACCATGTTCCCACCAATAGCGTAGCTCCATTTTCTGCATATAAAACACACACACACACTCCACAATTCCTCCCTTCGCTCGAAACGAAAGAAACGGTAAGACGTGTTCTTCTTGTTATATGTCTTTGAATCATAGGTATTAATTAGTAGATATAAGAGCACAAAGTATGTACTGCAAAACTATTATGATGTACACAATGCAATCATGGCCTTCCTATAAACATTTCATCTTTAATGTCTATATACTCTTTTCTTCGAAAAAAGGCGATGTAAATCAACTTCGGTAAATCTAGCATGTTCGATTTTAAACAAGGAGACTTTTCATGAGAAAACCTTGATACGCGGCTTTTCGAACTCCTTAGATGTAAGGAAAAACCGCAGGCTGTCGTGTGTTTCACAGAGAGATTAGGGAGGTTAAAGTGCCTGGAGAACGGTTTGTAAGCGTCTTTGTCATTCCTTCCGTGTTCTCGGAATTGGTCGCCTGATTTCGTATTGATTTGGTGAATGTACATTCATAAGATAGCGTGGTGGTGCAAGTAAACGATTCGAACTCCACAGATTGATAGAAACAAAAAAATTTTACAAACAAGGTTCAACAGCACAGATCTACCAGCTAGTTGGCGGTTGATGATGTAAATTAAAAGTTTCTAGCGATGACGTTTCGAGTGTTAGCCGTTCGTGAAAGCGAAGGGGTTGTATGCGTTTTAACACACTTAATGGCTTACATCACAAATTTAAAATTACTTAGTAGTAGTATACGAGTTGGCGGTACGAGACCAGTTTTGAAAAGAGTTTTTGAAAACCGAACCAACTCTATACTACTCACCATATGATGATAAATATTTCATGATTCCAAATATTTCATTTAGCATATAGAATCATATCACCTGATTGTTAAAGAAGAAGTTCAACTTACGATTCTCTCGTTTGATCACCACAACTGTGTTTCTATATTATAGATATGATTATGTCCTCTCTATTGAATAAGTACCGATATTTTTGAGAAATTGAATATTACATATCTTCACCTCATTGTAAATACTGATATTTAACAAATTATGGAAACATTGATTCAAATTTTGTAATGTCCATAAGCATACCTTGTTATACCATTATCGTGAATGTAACGTTTGTCATCAAAACAGCTCAAAGATACTTTTTATATCTCATAACTTCCAAGTTGGTGGTTTTGATTTCGGATTGCTTTCATTTTATGTTACAACTGTCTGTTGTGAAATAATGTGTTCTTATAGTTTTCATATTTGATACTTTTTTTATGACATTCTTTTTGATTCCTTTCGCTGTTTTACTGCCTTTGTAACTGTCTTTCATGTATGAGTACATCTCAGATCTTAAACCAACAAATTCATTACTTGGAATACCGCCAGCTTCATCCTTGAGTATTCCAATAACCTCCTTGTTTCTTTTGCCAAAATATGGAGTGTTCTCTGGATAGTCGCTGTTGTCAAATCTATTTGTATTATTCCAAAAGTCTTTGTACACATCTACAGTTTCAATTTCATAAGTTAGATTGTCTGTGTCTGTTAAAGTAGTTTTGCTGTGTTACCATACTTTTGTTTGATTCAATTATGACGAAAATCATTCATACATGTCTTACTTTGATGAAGAATGCACGTTCCCACACATGCTGGCCGATTGAGGGTTAGTGTTTCTTTGACCTTGTGCACTGCAACTAGATTTTCATCGAATATTTTATCACCTACATAAGTTGGTTTTAAGCTATATTTCACAATTTCTCTTTATTATTTAAAAGTCTGCCATTGAATCTTTTCCTAAGGTTTTCCTTTGTTTCAGAAGAAATCTAATTTTTCATTTTTGAATTCTTGCGATGTATATTTAAATAATTCAATTGGTAGACTATCTACTAATTTCTCAAGACTAGAACTCATAAATTGGAAGCTGTCAATGAAAACTAGATGCTTCTCACGCATGCCATGCAGTTTTCCATTTAATTGGGTAAGACTTTAATATCCTGATTTAGTTTAGCAATTTGTTGCATAATGAAATGACTGTCATAACCTCTCAAATTATGTAAAATAACGAGAATCTTATCAGTCAGCTTAAAAGTTAAATGAAAATGTGGGTGAGCTGATCCACCATATTTACCAGTTACATGACAATGGTCTCTTACAATAATATTTTTATTACGAATATACGTCGGCGTGCGTTCATCGAGATATGAAGCACGCGGGAAGTTTGGAGAGCACGAAAGATGTGTAAGAGTTGCTCGAAGCGTAGCCGATATCAACTCTAGCCTCTTGAGTGACTTCCCAAGTGCTTCATATCTCGATAAACGCACAGCTGACGTAAGAACCAATTGTTTAATAACATTTTCAATCCGATGGTTTTAATGTTGCAAAAGGGCTAATATTCCCTCTGCTACGCTTCAGCGCGTTGATAATTTGATTTCAGGGAAACATTTCGCTACGATCTTGTCTTAGATTGGTCAAAAAACTGACAGGTGAATTCATGCATGTAAATTAACTTTCTTTTCTGATTGAATACAAAATTATCTTATCCAATAGAAAAACGAAGATGCTGTTTCTCTAGGGATTTGTTTGCTGACGTCATGAGCGTGCACAATAGAAATATGAAGCACGATCACGCAATTGAATTTGATTTACTAGCTATGTTATAATATTCATTGACAATCATACAGTTTTATGATTTTTCTGCTTATCTTCACTGCCTAAACACTGCAGACAATATGTACAAAACGCTTTCCATGTTCATCGTTACTTTGATTCAACATAAATTTATTGAAGTCTTTTATTAGAAAGTAATTTTCATTTTCATTTTCTGTCATCAATGACAGATTCATCTGATCATCGAATTTTTCTTAAGATATGTAAATAGGAAATGATTTCTTTTCTTCATAACTGAATACACTAATATTAATGTTATTTTGTTTCTCGATTTTATTGAAATGTTTCACAGATACCCGAGTAATGTGATAGCTGAGTAATTCAATTTTTCAACATGTTGTTTTATCAGTTTTTCGATTCATTGACGATATTTTTCTTGAGGGTTTAAATGTCGACTATGACATCATCTGAAACATTGATCATCATTGTTTTTCATGCTGACTAATCCTTTTGATGAGTTTCTTAGCTCACATGGAAGTCTGATATAAGATGCTCCTTTTAACGTTTCATATTTCACTATGTTGTCATAATTATGAACAATCAATTCGACAGTCTAAACTGATCCTTATGATTTCCAATTTCCAGTATTATTCAATATTTCCTGTTTTGATGTTTGTAATGCTTCATGTATTTCATCATCCTTGATTGTGATTTTAGATTTACCTTTGAAATAGCAGGTAATTTAGTGTTAACAACTGGGTTGAAAACGTAAATTAGCCACCGTAAAGGGTAAAAAAGCTGACGTTTCGAGCGTTAGCCCTCCGTCAGAGCGATTAGAGGAATTGTGGGTTGTGTGTGGATTTATATGTAGAAAGTGGAGCTGCGCCATTGGTGGGAATATGGTGACGAGAAAACAGGAATAAATTAGTTGAATGAAAAGCGCTCGTTGATTCCGTGGGGATTAAGGGTGCCGATTTGGAATATAAATTTTTGTTCTAGTGTTTTACGGCTTTCCGAACTGCCTATATGTAGGGAAAGGCCGCAAACTGCCATATGCTGTTTAGAATGATAAGGAAGATTAAAGTGTCTAGCGACTGGTTTGGATGCGTCCTTGTCATTTCTTTCCACATCGCGAAGGTGTTCTCGGAATCGGTCACCCAGTCGTCTTCTGTTTCGCCGATGTATAACTTATTGCAATAAGTGCAAGTTATGCAGTAAATAACATTGGCGGAGGTACACGTAAAGTGATCAATGATCTTAATGGATCTTTTGGGTCCCGATATTTTCTCTACGTTACGAATGAAAGGACAAGTTTTGCATCGTGAGGGAGCGCATTTAAAAGTTCCAGATTGGTCATTGGTTTGAAATGAACTCCTGACTAAAAAGTTGTCTATGTTTTTGTCACGTTTGAATGAAATAAGTGGGGGTTGCGAAAAGATAGTGCCAGTCTCTGAATCGTTTTGGAGTAATTTAAAATTTTTAAGAATGATAGATTCAACTGCGTGGTTGTGAGGGTGAAATGTAAGAGTAAATGGAATGCGGTCAGTGTTCTCCTTCTCGGCCGTTTGTAGTGCTGCCTGTCGATAGATTTGTTGGGCACGGTGGTAGCCCGCTTGAACGACAGAAACAGGATAGCCACGTTTATCGAAAAACTGGCACATTGCCTCTGATTTTTCGGAAAAATCAGAGTCGTCACTACATAAACGACGAAGTCTGAGAAACTGTGAAAAAGGTATGGAGTTCTTGACGTGTGATGGATGTGAGGATGAATACAACAAGTAACTATGTGAATCTGTAGGTTTGTAGTAAACACTTGTACATAAGCCGTTGCCTTCAATTGAAATTTTGATGTCTAGAAAAGCCAAAGAAGTGTCGGAAATTTCCCTGGTATATTTAAGAGCCGGATGAAAGGAATTGACGGCGGTTATAAATTGAGTGAGCTCCTCTTTGGTAGAGGAGGTAGCGCGGATGTAATCGTCAATGTAGCGGCCGTAGAGTTCAGGTTTTGGGCCGTGGTATTGACTAAAAAATTGATGTTCGATAAAACCTACAAAAAGATTGGCGTAGCTGGGTCCCATTTTAGTACCCATGGCCACGCCATTAGTTTGTTTGTAGTAGCTACCACCGAATGAAAAGCAATTGAGTGTGAGTACTAGTTCGGCTAGACGGAGTAGTGTTTCAGAGCTAGGTTCCTTAACAGTGCGTTGATCGAAAAAATGTTTGAGGGCCCGGAGACCTTCGTCATTGGGAATGACAGTGTAAAGAGATGTTATATCCATGGTGAAAATAAGTTTATTTTGGTCGAGGAAACTAAAGTCACGAAAAATTTCAAGTGCGTGTTGGCTGTCCTTACTGTAAGACGGTAAAGTTTTGACGATAGGTGCCATAATTTTGTCTAAACAGCTGAAAATAAGTTCAGTGGGACAACTGCAGGCAGAAACGATGGGTTGACCTGGGTTGTTAGGTTTGTGGATTTTAGGTAAAAAGTAAATACACGAAGTTCTAGGAGTGGTAATGATGAGATTTTTAGCAGTGGCCGGCAATTCTTGTTTAGCTATAAGATCGCTGATCGTATTTTTGACAATGTTTTGGTTAATTAAAGCGAGATCTTTGTCGACTTTAGCATAAAAGGAGGTGTCAGAAAGTTGCCGCAAAGCTTCTTTTTGATAGAGGTCGGCCTGCCAAACAACAACTGCACCGCCTTTGTCGGCCGCCTCAATGACAATGTCTTTGCGTTTTTTTAGACTTTTTAGTGCCGACCACTCTCCCGAAGAAAGATTGGAAAATTTGGTGTTACGATTGAATTTAAGTTTGTTCATATCATGGCGACACTTTTTGAGGAAAAAATCTAAAGATGAGAACTGGCCCTCTGGGGGAGTCCATTTAGACTTTCGAATCTGGAGTGTTTCGAAAGTATCTTTGTTCGAGGTGTTAGAATCATCCTCTTTGTCATGAAAAAAGGCTTTAAACTGAACGCGGGGAAGGAATTTTTCAACGTCTTGCTTAACTGAAAATTCGTCGGTTTTTTGTGATATGGGAACAAAATTTAAGCCCTTGCTGAGAACTGATTTTTCTGAATCGGAAAGTAGTAAATTAGTGGTAACTACAGTTTTGAGGTTTTCAGGCGATGAGTCGTTAGTAACTTGAGGGCCGATAAGTTGGTCGAGTTTTTGGGCCTTAATTTGGTGCAAAAGTTTAGAATTGGCATCCTGAATTTTGGCACGAATGGATTGTACTAAAACAGCTGGACAGATTTTGGAAAGTTCAGAGCGGCAATGTAGAATTCGTTCGGTGAGTTTGTTACGTTTTTGGCACATAGCTCTGATTGTGATTCTCATGATATTACGTGAAAAACAAATTTTGGGCGCACTGAATTTGGTGACGATATTGATTCGAATGAGAAAAAGAAGATGTGTGAAAATTGGAGCGACCTTTTTCACAGTTTCTCAGACTTCGTCGTTTATTTAGTGACGACTCTGATTTTTCCGAAAAATCAGTGGCCATGTGCCAGTTTTTCGATAAACGTGGCTATCCTGTTTCTTTCGTTCAAGCGGGCTACCACCGTGCCCAACAAATCGATCGACAGGCAGCACTACAAACGGCCGAGAAGGAGAACACTGACCGCATTCCACTTATTTTATTCAAACGTCACAAAAACATAGGCAACTTTTTAGTCAGGAGTTCATTTCAAACTAATGACCAATCTGGAACTTTTAAATGCGCTCCCTCACGATGCAAAACTTGTCCTTTCATTCATAACGTAGAGAAAATATCGGGACCCGAAAGATCATTTAAGATCATTGATCACTTTACGTGTACCTCCGCCAATGTTATTTACTGCATAACTTGCACTTATTGCAATAAGTTATACATCGGCGAAACAGGAAGACGACTGGGTGACCGATTCCGAGAACACCTTCGCGATGTGGAAAGAAATGACAAGGACGCATCCAAACCAGTCGCTAGACACTTTAATCTTCCTTATCATTCTAAACAGCATATGGCAGTTTGCGGCCTTTCCCTACATCTAGGCAGTTCGGAAAGCCGTAAAACACTAGAACAAAAATTTATATTCCAAATCAGCACCCTTAATCCCCACGGAATCAACGAGCACTTTTCATTCAACTAATTTATTCCTGTTTTCTCGTCACCATATTCCCACCAATGGAGCAGCCCACTTTCTACCTATAAATCCACACACAACCCACAATTCCTCTAATCGCTTTGACGAAGGGCTAACGCTCGAAACGTCAGCTTTTTTACCCTTTACGGTGGCTAATTTACGTTTTCAACCCAGTTGTTAACACTAAATTACCTGCTATCCTCTCCCACCGACGCAGCACCACAGTTTCTTTTGAAACTTACCCCTTTATACCTTTGAAATAACCTGTCTTATATGTCTTTTTTATTACCAGACATTTTCGCGAAGATAATACTAAATATTTCGATGAATTTGCAACCATTTATTTCCAATAGTAATTTTATAAATTATTTTTCGATAACTTTAATTGCATTTTGCAATTTTTTCAAAGGATCTTTTTTATCTTTTTATTGTTATTGTTATTTCAAATAATTCAGTAAATCCTTTCAGAACTTTATCAGTAAGAGTTATTTTAGTTCTAAATATTAGAACTGGTTTTCCTAAAACTATCTCTTTAGTTCTTATTGGTGGTGTTGGTTTGTAATCATCCCTAAATTCAAATGGTGGGAGGAAGATATTGTCTTCATAATATTCCTTTCCCATTTGTTTGACATTCTTACGAGGTTTTCATCATTGGGATTTCATCATTAGTTTCTGAATTCTCGCAGTAGTAACTGGTTTGTGATCATCAGCAATTGCCCTTTTATGTTTCTGCTTCAAAAGCATTGTGATACAAATGTACATTGGGATTTTGATCATTTTCCAAGATCTAATTTGTTCATTCTACTCAGTAATGAGCTAATAAGTAATTTTTATAATTCTTCTTACATATATCACAAAATCATTCTTTATTTAACATATATTTACTTTTGCTCTTAGTTTTTTTTTTTTCTATCTTTATCAGTGAAATATTATATCTCTCCACCTCTATTTCTCTATTCTTGTTTTTCCATACTATATTGAACAGCAGAAAATTCTCTATATGATGGCAAGGCTCTTGGAAGAAACGAACTCCCTTCTTTCGGTTCAAAGCCGAGCGAAATAACTAATATTCTAAGGAAACTCTTTTATGTAGTCAAAACCAAGGTTCCATCATAGGCAGTTTAAGTGATAAAAGTATCTTAATGCTTCTTAATTCTCAATGGTTTCAAATTAACAAGTTGTCTCTACAAACAAATGTCTTTCATTTTCATTTCGACATTAAAAGGATGATTGTACAGTTTTTCGGATTTCGTATGTTATGCTCGGCCTACGCATTAATAATCAGGACTGCCACAAAATTCACAATACCATTCACTTCTATAATATTCTGTTATTCATTCAGATTTTGATCCATTTTGTTTTTATTTCTGATGATCATCGATAGCTTTTTTCCACGATTCTTGGCTTTTGTCATATAGATCCTGGAATTTTTTATGAAATTTAGATTTAAGATGTTGATACTTGCATTTAATCCTATAATTATGAAGTGGACATATAGGACAATACCTTTGTCTAAATATATAATTTTAGAATACATGATACATGCTTTTTTCCTTTCACGTTTGTTCAAATGTTTTTGAATCTTTTTTGTTCCCACTTCTACAACAGTTAGTGTCCTGTTTGATAGAAAGTATGCATCTTTCATTGATTTCAAATGTGTGTTTTTATTACACAACGTCACAATAGCATAAGGACAAATATTACATGATCAGTGTTTTCCTTCTGATGCTTGATTATTTTCACTCATAAATATATGTAAATTAGATAATTCTCACTATATAATGCATATAAATATGTTTATGAAAATACTTTTTTGTGTTGGGCGAGATTCGTTTATTTTAAACTTATTAGTGCAGTACCTACATTGTATTCTAATTCCAGGCATATATTCATATTCTTTTTGCGAGATAAGATCGTAATTATTTGAAATTATGAATTCATAACCATTTACCAAATACTGCTCTTTTATTTTTAATTTTGATTCGCTCCTTTTGTAATTTGTTTTTAATTTTTGTAATTTTTTTTTTCATTCATAATGATGACATCTGGTTGAATTTTCATATATCCCTTTCTTTATGAACCTATTCTTTTTTTCTGGTATCTTGGTTTTGTCTCTGGATAAAATAGTCTAATATATCTCACAAATTTGTCTTCATTTGTCCTAAAAATGGATAACGACCGTCACCATCTTGCATCATGCTTAGCAGCCTGGCTCCTTAGCTATGAGCTAGGAAACGTTTGCTATTTTTTTCATCGCTAGACGATCTGCTTAGATAGTTGATAGCACCACAAAAAGATATCCTCGACTCATGAAATGATTTTTTTGTCAAAAATCAAAGCAGTAGCCGTTTGTGAAGCTCGCATAGTGGTTATGAATTTAATGCCAGGTTACTACGATGTTTTTTCAATGGCGCCGTTCAAAGTGAAACCTCCAAAAAGTTGCTTTGCCCTTAGGCATCTCAAAAGGCGGATGGTTACAATAATTCAATGTAAGATTTTCATTGGTGAAGACATGTCCCTCTTACTGATCTCTATTTCCCTCTCTCTGATGGCCTAAAACGAGGTTCCCTAAATTGTTAAAAATACAGATCGGATAAACGAGCTTATCAAATGTATGGGTTCAAGCAGAAGCGTGGTTTCGGTTCGAATAACTGAAATTGTGTGATCGTAAGGTAGTCTCTGACTTGAAAACAGCGCGTATGCTTTGTTATCGTAGAAAGCGGTGAATTAGTTTTTTTAAGAAGAGGCCTTTGACGTAGGGCAGGACTGTTTTGAATCTGAACTCGATGTGGTGTTCAGTGCTGGCGGTCGGTGTCTTTTTTTTTGTTATTCTACCCTACAAAATGCCTTGAAACATAGGTAGTCAACGATTACATATGTTTACTTGCGGTAAATTTGAAATGTTCCTTTTCTTTTTAAGGGAGTCTCCTGGTAGCTCAAATTTTAAAATTTCACTCTCACAAGATCGAGCAATGTCAAGGATTGCACGCAGAGGGGGCCACGCTAGCCCATGAGAGGCATCGCATACTGTCCTCATCTATAAAAATTCACCATAACACTCATAATTCTCTCATAGATGAAGCAACGTAAAATTGAGAAATAAGTCTGTCAAATATGAATTATATTTGTGACAATCCTGGACATACGTGACAAGATTAGGGGATGGGCAATTCTGTCATGTGTTGCCAAGAAATAAAATTAGTCTACTATAATCTTGAACATTCCAACAAGGACAACGGTGTTGTTATCTTGCAATTATTACTAGTGATCATTTCATCATCTGAAGCTTCTGTTGGAAGACTTTTGTTGCATACCATACAACAGGCCGTTTTATTAATGTCAACACCAATGCATTGGCCTATAAGGATGTTTCTTTCAGTTCTTTGGTTATCGATATTAATGTTGTCAATGTCATCAACTTCATGAATTACACTGAATTGATTTCTTCGTATTAATAAATTTAATATCATCAAAGGTGCATACTGTGAGATGTTTCAAGAGGCAGCTTTTGTCTGTGGTTACTTTGTTGATTGTGTTTTCCCAGAGGACAAGTTTCATGGACTGTGTTTCATCGGCTGTTATGCTGTCAACTTTGTATTTGATCTTGACTTTTTGTATATTGACCTGCTTCTTTTCACTTTTTGTGACTATTTTTACTTTTAAGCCTACTGTTTGGCACACATTTGTATTCAAGGC